CCACACCCCCCCAACATTGTGCGACACTTTTTTTTTTGGTTTAAACCGTGCCACGCCGGACCCTATGCATGCTGGCATGGGGGAGATTCCCGTCCCGTGGGGGGGCTGAGAGAAAAAGGGGTCACCGGCGAAGCAGAGCTGACCCCCGCGTGACCCCAGCTTCAGATCCAGCCGGGAAATGGAGAGAGGCAATAAAAGAGGCCTCGCCGGAGCCCCCCCCCCCTGTGGTACGAGCGGAGCGGAGCAGGCGGTGATAAAAGTACAGACGTTCCCTCATTCGATGGTGCCCCGCCATGCCATTACATTCTTTTCCTGTTTTTTCTTCCTTATTTAAGACAAAAAAAAACTTTTAAAGGGCAAGGTGGACACTTTGCAGCGAGACGGAGATCGCAGGGGGGGGGGACAGTCGACCAATTAGGAAGTCCAGCAGATGCCCACACGGGCGGCTGTTTGTTCGTTTTTCTTTTCTGTTTTGTTTTTCGTCCTTTATCTTCACCTTCTGCCCCCCCCCCACAACCCCTGCCCCACCTCCCGATTCTTTGCCTTTCTCTGAAAGGGCCAGCGCTGCCATTGTCTTGCCAAACAACTCCTCTAATTCCCCCCTCCCACCAAACTCCAGCCCCCCCCCCCCCACTCACCCACCAAAAGATGAAATGGAAATATCCAGCCGCAGTAGGGAGGAGGTGGGGGGGTCATAAATCAAGTCAGAACCCCTGAGCTTGCACTCTAAAGGGTCATGGGGGGTCACTGGGGGTCACAGGGCTGCTCCAGAAAGCTTTAGGCTGAGCAAGACCAGAGTGGGGGGCGGGGAGGGGGGGAGAGGGGTAGGGATGGGGGTCATAAGCCATGCATGCCAAATATGCTGACTTCACAAGCACATGCACAAACTGGCAACCCCCCCCCCCCCCCCCCCCCCCCCCCCACCCCCAACCCATCGCCACCATGATGGGGATGGGAATAAAAGAGTACTGGGACCAGAGGATGTGAGTGGGGGAGTGGGAATGACTGAATTAGTGAACGACTGTGAGAGTGGGCATGTCCAACAGTGTGTACACGCTGTATCCAGGGAGGGGCACGTGATACGTGGGCAGGCGGAAGACGGGGGAGTGTAATGCCGGGGTAGGGGGGCAGGCTGGGTGACGGCCACAGGACAGTTTGGATGCAGTAGAGCGATTGTCACCTGATGGTGGGATGACAGTATTATTTATGTTGTTTAGTTGATGCTTTCGTACAATTTTCCTCAGCTGGATATTTTAGTGGTGATACAGCCCCAATCCCCGTCCCCCCCAACTCACCAACAGACACGAACGCCCAAAGCAACCAAGCACAAACTCGACATGCGCTTTCTCGGTGGTTAACCAGTCGTTCAGAGATCTAGACGTAGATGAAATGCACGCCCTTTCTGGAAAGACCAAACGATGTCTCTGAAATATCTCAACGACTTGGGGGTCCAGAGGGCTTTCAAGGCGCCTGGCGCTGAACGCGCCGCAATGGGATCTAAACGCAGTGGCCTGGATTCTTAAAGGCCCGAACGCAAGATCATTGAGTCCGGAGTCATGTGACATTTCCACACACTGCCGGGGGAGCGTTCCTTAGATCTGTGAGGTCCGACCGGGGTGAAGCCAACGGGGTCGCTGACTGTGATTCGGCATTACCAGCTGCAAATAGCGGGACCCTCTCGATTAGACGCACCCATGTAATACCCTCTCCACTGACCTATGGGGGGGGGGGTGAAAAAAATCTGGCACTAAATATAAGTATAAAGCTTCTTCCCCAACCCCTGGCCCCTTCCTGATAGTTAAGTTAAACCAGTAAAACCAGTAAAGCAAACTGAGATTAGTGTGAGAAAAGGCAAAAAGTCAAGGAGGGGTGTCACGGACCTTTTTGGGGGGGCCTGCCCCATGAGGGCACGTGGGTAGGATTAACACTCTCGCGTTTTTCCCCCGGTGTCAGGGTCACCGGTTGCATATGTGTGTGGGGGGGGGGGACCATGACTGACTCTCAGCCCCCCCAACTCCCGAATCATGACTCCCGATTCTCCTCATTTCTTGTCTCTTTAAAGTTGTTATTTTTCCTTCCTTTGTTTAAAGTGTAACTGTGCAAAGTCCCAACAGTGGCGTTTTGCTCAAAAAATAACTCTCCATTGTCAGGGAGGATGGGGGGGGGGGGGGGGGGGGGNCCCCCCTGCAGTCACATGGCCCACAAGGAAAAACATTTTGTCGTTGAGAGGGAATCTAAGGGTCCAACAGGAATCCAGGGTAACAGGAACGGTGAGGCCTTTTCAAACTCGCAGCGAAGGAGTTTCCATCCGTTAGCGAGTCAATACAGGCTGGATGCTTAGCGAGTCAATAACATGCCTCAGCTATCCACCATCAGAGGGTTCTGATACGACGGTGCCACGGCCTTCCGGGCCTCTCCGGCCTGTGTGTGGCTGTCAAGGGCCACCAATCTGCTGTGGGTCACGGCTTCTCCACACCTCCTTCCACCCTGTCAGATGATTCGTGTTGTTATTTGTTTAAATAACCCACCCCCCCCTCCATCTCTTCCAGGTTCATTAATGCACGACGGAGAATAGTACAGCCCATGATCGACCAGTCCAACCGAGCAGGCAAGTCCTCCTTAGCAACCACACCCAAGTCCTCCATGACCCATGCTCCGAACCTCCCCCCCCACCAGCAACGTTACCCGGCCCACTAACAGCTCGGACCAGCTGGACCCAAAGTGGGTGTTGCCATCGCGTACCAGAAGCAGGACGTAGGGGGAGGGGCAGGTGGAGCTGGCTCCTGTCCGGCGCGTGCTCCCTGCCCCCCCGCTGCCCACCCCCTCGCCCCGCTGCCAGGGGGCCCCGGAGCATGGCTTGTGGTGCACTGCCCATAAACTTTATTACCTGTAATAAGGGTCAGGGGTCGGTGAGGTCAGAACTGCATTAGGGACTCTGTAAAGTTCAAAGGCAGTCCCTGGGGGCTCGCCCATGTGGGAGCCCATACAGGGGGTTAGTCCAGTTTGTTTAGGATTAGAGTTTGGCGGGGTAGGGGTCCTAATCCTTCTCAAATACGCTACTGATTGTTGAAGCTCCTTTAATTAGCTATTTGTTATTCTAACGGACTAACTGGGTCTCGTTGTTCCCAAACTAACGCTCGTCCAACTTCCGAAGACAAACTGGCCCCCCTGCCCATTTCCTCAGACTGGGATCACATGGGATTTGCATTTTTTTTTTCTGGGGGGAAAAACAGCTACAATTAGGCAGAGTTGTTAAAGAGCTGAACCATGAGGTTATGGGTTCAAGTCCCAGCAGGGTGGGGAGTCCCTGCTCTCGTGCTGCTTGGTAGGGAGCTCAGGCGAAATCTGCTCTGGTAAATTATCCAGGAGCATAAATTGGTTCAGGGTTTGTTCTTTTTTTTTTTTTTTAATAAGAGGTTGGATAGTGAAGGAAAACAAGAGCAATGATAAAAATAATGATTCCCAGTCGTCTCATTTGCAGTCAGTCAGGGCGCGCCCTACAACCCCGACGGGCAGCCAATGGGAGGCTTCGTCATGGACGGCCAGCAGCACATGGGCATCAGACCGCCTGGTAAAGCCTGATTACGTGTCCCCACCCCCAATCCCACCCCCACCCCAAACAATTCCTCAGGTGTGGTTTGTAACATACCCTCCACCCTTTTGTTTTCCCAAGTGTCAGTGAGCTAACAGGGACCTCACCCCCCATGTAGCTATCCCCCCCCCCGAAAGCTGATCTCCGTGCTCCTTCCTTTCCTCTCTCTTCTTCCAGGGCCCATGAGCGGAATGGGTATGAACATGGGAATGGAGGGACAGTGGCACTACATGTAACCGTCATGCTAAGCCCCCACAAGCCAGGGGGATGTAAGTAGCCGCAGGATAAACACGCACGCTCCTCCACCTTGCCATTTTCCCCCGTTTTGTTTTTTTTTTCTTTAAGCGGGGGTGTGTTTCGGTTTCATTTGGGCACCTGAAGGCCCCCCCCCCCAGAATGGCGTGGCGCGTTGGACGCAAATTGGAGCGGGGGGGAGCCTGTGAAAGAGAGAGAGAGAGAGACTGGCAGGGGCGAGAAGGGACAGCAGCTGGGAGGAAAGGAAAGCAGACTGGGGGGGGGGGGTTGCCATGGTAACCGTCTGATTGGCAAAATGTAAGCGGCCGGGCAGCGGGAGGAGGAGAGATCTTGTCCCCAAAGTGTCATAAATCTGTCTCACGGCAGGTAATGCGTGAGACGCATTAATGCATTGACCTGTGAGATGGGGGCTAAAGAAAGAAAGAAAGAGAGAGAACCCTGAGGCAGAAGACACTCCCACAGGCACTTTGAACCCAGTGTGGCGCCACCTAGCTGTGAGGGTGTGACATGGCAGCAGAGGCTGCAGTGTGTTCACCGGGCCATCCTGCCACACTCTCCCTAATTGGCTGTGTCCAAATTAAATATGCCATCACGGGCAGCGTGACGAATGGACCTGACTGAGCCGGCCTGCAGAAGCGGGGGTCATTAATGAACTGTTCCTGTGAGATGGCCCCAGTGCAGCAAACCTCCCTTGCAGGCTCGCACTTCAGCGAGCGAGGATAGGCGAGCACCGTGTATGTCCACTCCGCGGTTTTTATTCCGGTCTGCCCTCGGTGTGGGATCCGTAGCGACCCCTTTCTTACACAACTTGGGGAGAGGGGGCAGCAGGAACAAGGCGCCCCCCCCCCCCCCCCCCCAATCCCTGGCTTGTGCAACCCCTATCTTCCCAGCAGCTGCGTTAACTCCCAGAATGCCGTGCTGAAAGGCCCACCTCCGAAGGTCTCAGTTTACACGCCAAGCTCTGTAATTGGGCCACGTGTGGAATCCAAAATGAGACGGGAACACTGGGGGCAGAGGCGGCGTGTAACCAAGACGTCGTCACCGTGAAGAGACTCCCCTTTACGACTTCATCACCGATATTTCCTGTCTGGTCTCATTTAAATATTTTTTGCTTCGTTTCTAGGTCAATTAAATGTAAGTGATGTGTTATACTCTTCATGACCAATTAAATTAATAGGTTATTATGAAAAAAGAAAAAAAAAGTTATCTTATTTGATTAAGGGACTGAGGGTACGTTATATTTTATAAGCAATTTTCATTAGTTGGGAGATTTTCCTTAAGGCAAGATTAAGCAGCTATTTGCAGGGGAGAGACCCAGGACCGTACATGAAGGTGTTCCTGGTTGTAACTCTACAGCATTACTTAAGACCAAAGCCAATTAATCCTACTTATAGAGAAAGCTCTGCTTTGTGCCCCTGATGATTATGAAGCTTATAACCCTTAGAAAACGGGCTCCTGTCAACCCCGATAGACCACAGCAAGCCATGCAGAAGACCCAATCTCTTTGATTGCTGGGAAAATTACTGTTTTCCGTCTGCACCCCTCCCCTGGCACCCCGTCCCTCTTTTTGTTATTTTGCAAAATTAGCCAAGGGGGGTGAATATTGCCTTTTTAAAATTTGTATTCTTTTTTGGACTATAGTGATCACAGTGCAGAAATTAATTATGACCATATAGGGGTTTCCCTCGTGCCCCAGTGCGGTTTTGCTGCACCGCCGTGCCAACCCTGACCTACCCGCCCCTGCCGCCGCATGTCGTTTGGGGATTCCGCTCCCCCAATTACGAAGCCTCTCGGGGTCAGGGTCCCCCCCTTTCTAGAACCTGGACTCTTTTTTTTTTTTTTTTTAAATCCCCTTTTAAGTAACAGTGAAAAAAAAGAAAAATGAAACCTGGGGCTTTTTGGGGGGGGGGGGGCATAGATGATTGCTGACGCACACACAGCTCCCGTTGATGGAGTCCCCTGGTACCTCTTAAAACCAGAACCGGACCAGGTCGTTCGCATTAATGAGCTAAACGGCACGCTCTGTTCCCGACACTGTCGCTGCAGCAATGCACCTGACCTGGTCGCATTTCAAACGGCGGCGAACAAAAGGACAAGAGCACAAAAAAGGCTTTTAATGTTAACTGGCGCCCTTGAGTGTCGCTCTTAAAAATAATAAAAAGAGTGTTTATTTATTTGAATCGACCAGAGGCAATAAATCGTGCACCGGTGCCTGGAAAATGGCCCGCAGAGGCAGGGCTGTCCGAAGCATTTGCCTGTCGGATGACAGACTCCAAGGACCCTTGTCCTCTGCCATCCTCCCTGATGCGGCGTGGGCTTGCACGTAACATACTTGTGAAAATGTTTGACCCGGTCGGTGGGGGGGCACGCACACACAGCGTTCAGAGATTATAGTTTGCAAAAAAAAAATGTTAAAAACACCCAGCATCGGATGAACAGCAGGTTTGTTGGTGCAGTTTTCCAGAAAGATGGTCAGGCCTCCTTGCTTACATTGGGATAATACACTTTTTCCCCCCTGCATCCTTATATGTGCACCTAAGCTCAAAATTTAGCCTCGCTGCAAGCCCCGGCCTGCCCCCAGCCCCACCCCCCCACCCCACCCCAGGGGCAACAGAGAGGATACATTTCAGAACAAGCTTGGTGCTTCCCCACCTTTTCATTTTAGCTTCTCTAACAACTTTCACTCTGCTTTTGAATCATGCATTTATTTATCAATACAGATTTCTCTGAATCACGTGTTAAACGAACACCGTCTCTGTGTGTATCTCCTGGCTTGATCTTGATTTACTTTACCTGTTCACACACATTCATGAATATAACCCTAGTTTCCCTCCAAATTTATATGCTTTTCTAGAGCTGAAAGTAGCAGCAATTGTTGTGTGACTTATGCAAAGTAAATTTCTATTCCATATTTTGTAGCATAAAGACAGGAGCCAGCTGGATTGAATTAGGGAGCCTTCTGAGATTCTCGGATCCTTCTGGAAGGCAGTGTGCTCTAGAAGCACCCAGCCACTCTTTGTGGCCAAACCTGTGCATGAAGAGACAGCCTCTTTAGAGTGAATGAAACACGATTATCTGACATCCCCTGTCTTCTAATGGCAGCGTTTAGAAGCCAGTTACGTTTTTTTTTCCCCCAAAGAGTTTTCCGTACTTCCTGTTATGGCGACATGCAGGCAGAGGCTAGGTCTAGATTACAGAGGGGTGCGGGAAAAGGGGGCGGGGCTTGACATCAAGTAGATGGGCTTCCGATTGTAGACTCTGAAATAGCTGGGGTTAGGGATTGGACGGGAAACGTGCACGTCCACGCATAGGTCACATGACCTTCTGATTCCCTTGACCTCAGCCACAGATTCCGTTGCCGGTCGGGTTTCCTCGGTTATAGTTGATCCTCAGGCGCCTTCAGAGTCCCTCGTGGCGGACCGAGCCGAACAGCTCGTTCACGGGCTCCTGTATCGTCCCACCGGGATGGACTATATCCTGGATTTGTGCTGTAGTGATTTCCATCATCCCTCTATTACTCAGGAGACGCGTTTCCTTCCCGGACTATTTTCGGAAAGCACGGGACATATTTTCTCATCCGCGTGAGCATGGCACTGCATGACAGAAAATTTCCTGAAAAAATTGATGGCGAGAGAGAGAGGGAGAGAGAGAGGGAGAGAGAGAGGACGCCTTCCTTGGTGCCACGGTGCAACATAAACGGTAGAAGGCGCCAACCAGTGATCGCTGACACGATTACGACCGCGTCATTAACATTTTTATGGAGCGTGTGAGGTAATTAGCTATGGCCGGCGAGTGCTCAGGGGGCCGGGGGGGTGGGGGTCGGGGGGCAGGAGGTCATACTGCTGGCTTTGGTGTCCCTGGAACTTTTTCCCCCCCCCCCCATCTCTCCCCCCGTCCACGTACCAACGCAGGGCAGCAGGGCATGCCAGGGAACGGTGTCTGACGGGCATCTGTACGGGCAAGATGAACTACACCCCCTCTCTGAGACGCCCCCCCCTTCCCCCGCGCTCTGCCCTTCTGTGGCACACGCCGTCCTGGGACATGCCCGCCACCACCATGTCACCCCCCTGATGTCAATGCACGGAGGACTGACCCACTCTGCCATGCCCACCACTGCATCCGACGCTCAACATGGAACACTCTGCCCTGGGGGTGGCACACCATGGACCTAACGGCCTGAGGATTGTTTCCTTATTTCAGCGATTTAAGTGAATTTTTAAAAAAAAGTCTATTTTTTTTTCCTTCTTTGGGCGACGATGGTCATATTCAAACTGAAAAACTGACACCCCAGAAGAGGAGGTATCTTCTCCACAAAAGTGAGGAGAGCCAGCTGAGGACACTTTGGACAGGAGGTGCTCAGTAAAAGAACAGCTAAACAGAGACACGATGCGATTAAATCTATATCAGCTCTGAGGGGAGGGACGGGAGCGGGGATATACTATATACTGTTGTAAAATTACCTTGGACTCTCAGGAGAACTGAGAAATAATTATTGTAAATGCTATCGTATTGTTCTGCATATTATGTTGTTTCTAATAGATTTTTTAAAGGATGTGAAGTTTTTTCTTTCCACACTGTGTGTGTGTGCCGCCTCCATAGACGCTGACCTCCTCCCCGATTCACTTGATGTTTAAAAACGGAAGAGAATTAAAAAGAAACGATTCGATCAGATCAATGAAATCGACAAGCCTTACTCCCTTACACCGCGCCCCCCCCCCCCCCCCCCCCCCCGTGACAAAAACAAAGGGCTTTATTTGCGAAATTGCTGGGCATTAAAACAGCTCCGTCCTGCGAGGGAGCCTCTCTTCACCTCTGCCGTCGTTTGTCTACCTTTCATCAGCAAACAGATGTACAGCGGAAAGGATGCTGCGGACACACGCATCGGCCGATCAGCTGATCCGGAGGCGTGAGGCCGTTTGGGAACCAAAATGTGTGTGTGTGTGTGTGTGTGTGTGTGTGTGTGTAAACGATCGTGTGTGTGTGGGCGCCCAAGTGTCACGCCTGTGTCCATTCTCGCGTCTCAACTATGCCTCATCATGGGAGGGGGGAGAGAAGTTTCCCTAAGACATAAGTAAATTAAGTCTCACTTTCTGTCAAAGGAAAAAAATATTACTAATTCATGCGATACTTTTCCACGGTTCATCGGAGACTTTATGTATACGTTGTAAATAAATAAATTTTTTGTGGAAAAAAAGACTGCAAAAATATGGGTGTAATATTGCTTTTAAACCCGTATGATTCCTCGGATAGGCGTGAATTTGTTTTTGGAGATGTCTGTTTTCGCGAGAGACATAACTATGCTACTTACAGAAACGAAGGGCAGGCTCTTCTCTAGGAGATCTGCTACTTTTATATGAACTGAAAGGCTGGAGTGCAGTAACTACAACTGAGGGGGCAGTGCTTTGGAGCAAATTTTAGAAAGTTCAAGTGGGCCTACCTGCATAAGAATAAGCGAAAGCGATCAAAAGGCCGCTATCACGGTAAATCTCGTTTTACGCAGACACCACGTTTACGCATTAGCACCGCAGATGAGTTTTGCGTTCACGTCTTAACAGCAAGAAATGATAGGCTATATTTTGTCTGGAAAAGTATACGCCGTGTGGTATTGAATTTTCTCTCGTTGTTTATCCTTACGCCAACGCTAGGCTCAGGCACATCTGCGGCTTTTCAAATATATGACAGATATATGGTCTAAGTGAAACAAGCGGCGGTGTGTTTATTACTGTTAGCACTGGATGAGACGGGAAGTGTCATTATGTTATTGTTTCTGGTTTTCTCCTTTTTGAGGTCTGAGGACAAAGTAATATATAAATGATATTGTTTAAGCATAGCCTTAAGTGCACGAAGTGCACGTGTGCAAATGATATATCTCTGCACTCCTAAGGACGCCTGTTATTCCCCCAAGCCTGTTTACACGCTCGGTATGAAATGGCACCCCAGTCATGGTCAGCTGTCCCTTTTGTGCTGTAAGGGCTGTTACACGGGCCAACACAACGCTGATCTACTTCTGAACGCTGCACGGAAGCTTACTTTTTTGTCGATTTATTGTAGTTAGTAATACTGTGCCCGAGACTATAAATTTGTCCCGTATTCGCTATGGTTTCAAAGTAGGGGCGGCTGCATTTCATCCCAGGAAGAGAAGGAAAGGTAAGATGGTTTAGGTGATTGCATATCCGAAGTCAGGCTTCCCCAACTCGGGGCTTTTCCAAAGCAGGACAAAAAAAAACGGAAGAAGCCGTGGCTTGGGTCGGCTTGCGTAAGGATTTATGGATTTAATGCCACTTTAGAGAAAATCTAAACAGCGTTTTGGATTTAAACGGTTCACCTGCTCGCTTGTATTTGAGCCTGTTTTCTAGCGAGATGTGGCTTCAAACGCTCGCCGACGACGGAGCATCTCGCATGCAAATTGCTCCTGCATTTCCATTCCCAGACTTTTGTGGAAATCATAGTGTTTGCACTACAGCTATTGCACTGCAGTCAGTTACTCGGCTGTAATTTGACCATTTAACCGAAGGTGTTTTTAAGTGCCATTTTCTTACTGTTCCACTTACTTTGTATGGGCTGAAAGCGCAACAAATGCGAGTATGATGAGATATTCTGGGAGATATTCTGGGTCGGGGTAAACGAGCATTTAAAAATTAACTTGCATAAAATTGTGATAGCCATAATTTTTCATTATTGAGATATTGGCTACTCCTGGCTCCTAAACTGTAGTATAATTCTAATTTTCAACTCTTTGGATCCACAATTTAAAGTGGGCGGCCAAGGAAGGCGGGGCAGTGAAGTAAAACTTGAAGCAGCCTAAGTTTTACACAGGCGCACTTAGGGTGTATAGCGGGTGTTTGGACGATGTACATGTATAAAATGTAACATTATTTCACACAAACTTGTAAATCCATCCCTTCGGGACTCAGAATTAGGCCTTTATTTTGCTTGTATATATTTTTCCCTGCCCTGCCCAATCTGAATGCTATTTACACAGCAGAAGCGGCGGCGTTTTAATTACACAGCTCCAGTCCCCGGCTCCAGGCTGGGAGCCCCTCGAGTTTGAATTCCGGAGCTCTGGAGACGTAGCGCGGGTAAATCCCATGTTTGACTGCCATCTTTAGGGGGTCTGGAAAACTGTTATCGGCCATTTTTATTTCAGCGACCGTTTTTTAAAATGCTATTCTTAATACATGACATATATTTATTCGCTAATAAAGCAACAGTTTCGAGCTTAAGTAAAATATGCGATGTTTTGAAAATAGGTTTTTTTTATATACAATAAAGTCTTTCAAAGGATTACAGTGTCACACTGATCTTAATTATCTATTTGCGGCCCACAGTCAATCATATCAGCCATGGGACCTTTGATTAGAAATTGCAGAAACTTGCTGTTTTTTCTGTTTTTGTAATTTAATTTGTAATTGGGTGCGTAGTCTATCTTGTCATTTCATCTTAATTACGTCCAATAAAGACATGCTGTCCTTAGACCTTTAATGACACTTTATAGTGCATAGTTGTGCATACAATTAGGACCCCCACTTTCCGAAACCCCCCATAAACTTGCTCCGTCTTGCTTTTTTTGACGAAAATGTGTGCACACACGCTGTTGCCCTGTGTTACACATGATAGGCGAACGCTCAAGCCGAGATGTTTGTAAAAGTCTTTGGTTACATAAAAATGTTTTATTGAGTCGTTTTTTAAGGGATGTAGGTGGGGAAACACTAGTAGTGATTTCATTAATGAAGCCAGATTCCATTTACTATGGATTCACACTTCCTAAAAATTCACTTGCGGTTTCCCAAGTCGGAAGTAGGCTACATGTTTTTTTTAACGTTACGTTATGTATTGCCATAGACGTTGACGGAATAAGCTAATAAAATAGGCCTTTCAGAATACATTTAAAGTAGATTATAAAGTCATCACTCCTTTCATGTCAACTGGTGGTAATACTATCTTCAAGGCATTTGTTTGAGTAAAATCCCTGAAATATACGGCCCCATTGTCACGCTGTTTTCGTCCTCATTGTCTGCGGACAGTTTATTCGTAGGCAATTTTAGTTAAAACTGCCTTTAAGTCTATGAGATGTAATTTTATTTTTGAATGCGAGTCCTGTGTTTCCCAGAATCGGGCAAACAAAACGAGCACAATGCCAGTGTTCAGTGCCGCTCCCCGTACAAAAGACAGGCGAGACCTTCGGTCACATATATCGTGGGCCTGTCAGGCAAACCAGAAAGCGCTTTCTGCAAACAAACTGCCCCAATAGCGAGCTGTCGGAGTATGAAGGAAGAAAAATTAGCTCCGTGAGTGTAACGGTGCTTCTCCCTCCCCCCCACACACATACACACACACACGCACGCAGTATTTTCTTCCTGCAGGACTGGGCTGCATGCTGTTGTCCCCAAGTTTTTAAAGCATACATCCCTGGGTCATCCCAGGCAACCGTTCCTGGGGAACTGGTGATCTAAACTTCCAGGCGACCATGCTGCCCAGGATGGGTGGTGTTGTGGTGTGTGTGTGTGTGTGTGTTGGGGGGGGCGGGGGGGAATTACGGTGCCATCACTTTGCGATCCTTAAAGGCTGCTGTCTCGCGTGCACGTGGGGCCGTCACACCGCGGCCTAAAGCCCCGCCCTGGGGAGACGGCGAGCCGCTGTTCCTGCGGCATGATGTGAGCCAGCCCGCAGATGGAGGTTTGTGTTTTCTGTATCAGTGTACAATTTAATCGCTGGCCATTTTGTAGACAGATCATAATGCACGACTGTCTGAACATGTGGAAGTTCCCAGGCGCTGTTCAAGTCCATTTCATCACTTTACTGTCGATCTGTCTAAATGTTGTGTGTGTGAAGCATGCAGTCTGTATGTCTACAGATACTCAATGCATTATACCTCTGTTTTAGCAAGTCTATTTCAGTATTTTATTTTGGTAGAATTACCTTATGCACAAGAGACCTGTACTATTTTTAAAAAGAAATACATTTCATGCCACTGTAAAAACAGCTGTAATGGATAGGGCTAATTATTTTTATTTTTTTCAGGTTTTGGTTATAAATCTTTTTTCTCTTTGCATTATTGTGCCTTGTTAATGTGTCCATACAGGTGCAGGCTGACAGACCTCTTTTTCTTAGGCTT